TGCCTCAGCCTCCCGAGTAGCTGGGACTACAGGCGCCCGCCACCTCACCTGGCTAGTTTTTTTTGTATTTTTTAGTAGAGACGGGGTTTCACCATATTAGCCAGGCTGGTCTCGATCTCCTGACCTTGTGATCCGCCCATCTCGGCCTCCCAAAGTGCTGGGATTACAGGCTTGAGCCACCGCGCCCGGCCCTGCTCCTTACTATTAAAAAGGTTTTACCACTTAGAACAATGTTAATTACTTGTGAACACCAGAAGGCTAGTCTCTGGATAAATGAGAATTGACTGTATTATTAAAATAGTTGTGATTTTGATCAATGTAAAATTCATTTTTAATCATAATCTAAATGTACTGAAGTGCTGTATTTTAAAAATTTTCATCTCTTTTCTACAAAGAATGAAAAAATAATAGAACAACAACTTCTTGTGGATCAACTGAGTGAAGAACTAACAAAACTTAACCTGTCAGTGACTTCTTCAGCTAAAGAAAATTGTGGAGATGGGCCAGATGCCAGGATCCCTGAAAAGAGACCATATACTGTACCATTTGATACTCGTTTGGGGCATTATATTTATATCCCATCAAGACAAGATTCCAGGAAGGTAAAGTCCAAACATTAATCTTTTTCTTATTTTGAGATTAAAAAAGTTTTAGCTATAATATCACAGTGTATTTGTACAGTCTCAGCAGATTTTTTTTTTGTTAGGTTTTATGGAATTTTGCGTATACCTTTTCTTTTAAGCATACTTCTTTCTAATAAAAAAACTAATAAACAAGAGAATACATAGTTACATTTGGAGGGAATAGTTGGATGGAGATAATGTCTATACCTCATCAGTGTCAAAAAGGTATCCTTTGCCATGATATCTTCAGACATGACCAAGTTTAATATCTACATGCATTTATTTCTTCCTTTAACCACACAAAATTGAGATGTTAGAGGGTATTTATTTCAACTTATTTGGTCTGTCATTATTTTTGAAATAATATTTATATGTTACTCAGTCTTACCAAGTAGACATAATCAAGACAGTATAAATATCAATATGAATTTTAGTTTGTGTGGTTGGTAAATATATACACACACAGTTTTAAGAATTATTAAGGAGTCTCTATTATGGAAAAGACTTAATTAGCAGATTCATAAGTTTTGGTTTAGCAGGTTCATGAATTCTGCTTTCTATTTTCTCATTTTATGAAGGGAAATGATTTGTTTACGTGAGATCCTTCTGGTTGTTACAGTCAGAGGGATAAGAAATGAAAGGCAAGTGATATATGAGCAGTGCCATGGACTTTGCATCAGGCAACCTTGGGTGGTATGAATACTATAATAGCAGCCTTGGGTGGTGTGAATACTATAATAGCAGCCTTGGGTGGTATGAATACTATAATAGCAGCCTTGCGTGGTGTGAATACTATAATAGCAGCCTTGGGTAGTATGAATACTATAATAGCTCTGGACATTTGGTTTTCTTTGTAAAAAGAAATTTTAAAAGGAAATTACAATCCCAGAGAATGAAGTAGCTGGGACTACAGGCACCCGCCACTGCGCCTGGCTAATTTTTGTGTTTTTTAGTAGAGACAGAGTTTCATCATGTTAGCCAGGATGGTCTCGATCTCCTGACCTTGTGATCCACCCGTCTCAGCCTCCCAAAGTGCTGGGATTACAGGCTTGAGTCACCGCGCCCGGCCTAACATTATATATTTCTAAGTTCATCTTGACTTGCCCTCCACATTGAGCTCAAAATGTTTCCTAATTTTCATTGTGACTTTTTGTTTTTTGACTTGTGAATAACCTAGTTATTTTATTTATAGGACATAGGGGATTTATTTTTGTTTTATCAATTTTTATTGCATTGTGATCAGATAACATACTATCTCTGATTTCACAGTGGCACGATCATGAGTCATTGCAGCCGCAACCTCCTGAGCTCAAGCAATCCCACTTCAGCCTCCTGAGTAGCTGGGACCACAGGTGCATACCACAATGCCCTGCTAATTTTTGTATTTTTTGTAGACAAGGGGTTCTTGGCCACGTCATCCAGGCTGCTCTCAAACTCTCGGGCTCAAGTGATCTACTGGCCTTGGCCTCCCAACATGCTGGGATTACAGGTGTGAACCACTGTGCCCAGCCCTACTATAATTTTGGATTTGTCTTATTTCTTCATGAAGTGCTGATAGTTTTTGCATTATAAATATTGAAGCTGTGTTATTAAGTGCATACAAATGTAGAATTGTTATACCATCCTGGTGAATTGCTCTTTTAATCCTTTTTACCTCTTCTTATCTCTTCTAATGAGTTTTGCCTTAAAGTCCACCCTGACATTACTACAGCTACACCAGCTTTCTTTTGATTAATATTTACATGGTATCTCTTTTTCTATATTATTTTTAATCTTTCTGTGTCTATTTTAGATATGTTTCTTGTAAACACCATATGGTTAGATAATTTTAAAATCCTTTCTGATAGTCTTTATCTTTTAATTTCATTATTTAATTCATTTATTAATTTAACATAATTATTGTTTTGGTAAAAATCCACCATTGTGCCTTTTATTTATCCTTCCTCCTCTGTGTTCCTTTTTCCCTCTTTTGAATCGTTGGTTATTTTTTCCTTTTCTGTTGTTTTCTCCACTTAGAAGTTATAGTTTTACTCTTTTTTTTAGTGGTTATCCTAGAGAGTATACCGTGTACTCTAATATTAATTGGTACTTTTATCCTTTTCCCAGACAATGTAAGAACTCCATTGAATCCTTTCCAATTTATATGCCATTGATGTTGTATATTTCAATTATCTGAATATATGATTTTTAAGTAAGGTTGCATTTTTATTGCTTAGCATTTATACAATGAAAATGTAAGGGTTTTTTTTTCCTATTTAAATATTGTAGTGCATGTGAAGTATTAAGATGAGTGACTGTTTCCTATTTACATAAATTTGTGCTTATAAAACAAAGATTGACATTAGAGCTTTCTGAATTTGATACACTTCGAAAATTTTCTTTAGAGGATACACAAAACTAAACTACATACACACACAAACACACACACACACATTCCTGATATACAATTTGTTCTGCCTTTGATTTCCAATTTCTTCTTCCTCTCAGGACTGTCAGTTGGCAATCTTCTGTCTCTGTGCTTTTGGCTTCCTTTTTCACTGAGGCTTTCACTTCCTGCGCTTGTTACCTTCTTCTGCCTCCTTTGCTGCAAACTCTGCTGTCTACAATTCTTTCTCCACTTTTTCAACTTTTTTGTTTCTTTTTACTTCTTGGATTTCACTCAGAAAGTCCATGCTTTAATAAAATAGCTAATCAAAGTGCTTCAGGTTGGCAAAGCAACCAGTCACAGTGGATGGGGAGTTATCTTTGAGTATTTAACTTGTTTGGCTGTGTTTGTTGCTCCTTACTATTTTTTTTTTTTT